GCCTAGTTATTTTTTTGTTTATTATTCTTAAGCCATACTCTCAGTCATATCGGGATGCTCGACATTGTTAGTTTCTGAATCAAATCAAGAGACCCTTTTTTACCAACCAAATTACAGTCAGATCCCGTTTCTTTTAAAACAATTTTATTTCACTTTGAATCCTTTATCAAAGTTGTAGTCCTAAATGCATAGATAAATTTGGGCTTTTGAATTGCTTGATTTTTTTTTGAATCACTTGATTTCAATATCAAAAGATCAATATATTTCTGTCACGAGAAGGAATTTTTTTCCCCAAGTTAGCAGGGACACAATTGCAAGATACTTAAAGATTGAAGGCCAATTGCAGGCCAATTTGAAGCCCTTTTTTGGACCAAGGACCAAATAGAAAAGGTACTAAAATAAGAAAGTTGGTTGAAGATAAAATTAGTAGCATGAAATTGGAGAACCACGTGTTTTTTCTGCAATAGCTATCCCAGGAGTAGCTGGCTTAATGTTCCCAGCTATGGAAGGAAAGAAATCACTGGAAATCATCAAAATATGCTGGTTTCCTATCTTTGCTCACTCGAGATTTACACCCTAGAGTTAATATAAGATTTTGTTTCCTAAGTGGAGCTGCATATAGGCTATAAGCTGTGTTTTCGTCTCTACACTGGGAGCAAGAACCAGCGGGGGTGCGATCATCACCAGTTTCAATTCCTCAACCACTTTGAGCAGCAATAAGCAAGAACAACACAGTAGCCGGATCCTTCCTCCCAGAGCAGCAAACAACAGCAGTAATATGACGACAGGATATCCTCCCCGACCTCCATCTTCAGCAAGCACCGGCACCAGGGGAACCCGAAGGCAGGGAGAAGACGAGGACACAAGAAGAAGACCGGATGAACGCAGACAGTGGAGAGCTAAAAAACCAGACCGCTAACAGACCAGGTACGTAAGCCGTTTCTCTCCTTTCTCAGTTTTGCATTTGCACTTAAAAGATTTGGGCACTGTGCGAAGGTAAATTAATTACCTTCGCACTGTGCAGTGCATGCGTGAGTAATTCAGCCCAGCCACATGGGCTGAGCTGGACCCAGCCCAAAAAAAAAGAGTAATATCGTTGGTTTTCTCGTGTATTTGATTTATGGTTTGTTATTTTTTATATTGTGGAAATACAAATCTGGTATTAAAATACCCTGTTTTTTTTCATGAATTATTATTATTATTATATATATATATGTCTGAAAAACAAAAAAA